CTTCGGGATAGAGTGGACACAGCTATCTTTTTGGCTTCACGGTTATTAGCCTTTGAGAAAAGAAATTCAGCAACCTGCTTTCACCGCACAATTTCTCTGCCGGTGCTTACCTTGATTTTTGGGGATCACAGTCCTCGCCAGCTTGCATAGAGCTAAGTTGTATAAACGCTGCAGAATGTCTACAAGTATCTTGGCGAGGCTGGTGGGGGAGTGCCCCTGAGACGTGGCTTCTCCTTTTCTGAATCACAAATCGGCAGTCCAGTTATTTTAGCCTGTGCATGTTGACTTTTCAACCGTAACCTAATTGTTACATACTTCTTGTTGGAATGAAATCAGGAAACACTCAGTATTAATGAATTTAAATTTGGCAGTGGGAGAGTGCTACAAATGTCCAGCTACTTATGGCTAATAATTTTAAAAACAAATCAAATCATGGGAATTTAACTGAGCTTTAAGACCTCATTTCTCTAGCACCGGTGGGAAGGAGACGGATGAGCTCTTTATCCATGAATAGATTTTCCAGACAAGGAACTCTTTAGACACCATCTAAAAATTGTATAAATTTTGTGAGAGTATCTCCTTGGCTTTGCTGCCTTTATATTAGTGTCACAATTTAATCAATTTAATCTTCCTACAGAGCAAATCATTTTTTTCTGAGCATCGATCATTGTATCACATGGAAACATCGAGGTACCTTCGGGGATTATGGTGATATGATACCATTTTTGACCTTTTGGCAAAAGGTACCAGACCTCTGAGCTTTTAATGTTTTAGGGCTACATTTTACAGCTTTTCTGGTTTCTCCTTCATTGTCAAACGATATCCCTTCTTGCTCTCAGTTTACCTGCCAGAAGTTCCCCCTGGCCCCTGCCATGATGACCATTTTATTGCTTTAAACTGTCAGCGGCCTAGAAAAGTAGTGCAGAAAAATAGTAGAACCATTTCTATTAACTATGAATGAAAGGGCTTTGCATGGAAGTCTGAGTCATTCCCTATAAGCAAAGTTTAAAAGGATTTTACAATATGGTTTCTTGGTATCAGTCTAGCCTTTTAAGAAAGATGTGTTTGTTTGTTTGTCTCTCCTCTAGGATTTTGATGCTCTCCCTGGTTTTCTCCCAAGCTCTGAAGCTGAAATGTCAGAGCCTCAACCATCTCAAAATCAGGCTTACTAGTTCTTTTATGTTTGTTTATTTTTGACAGAGAGAGAAAGACAGAGCATGAGCGGGGGAGGGGCAGAGAGAGAGAGGGACGCAGAATCTGAAGCAGGCTCCAGGCTCCGAGATGTCAGCACAGAGCCCGACGGGGGGCTCGAACTCACAGACCACAAGATCATGCCCTAAGCCGAAGTTGGAAGCCCAACAGATGGAGCCGGGGCCACCCAGGCACCTCTGGGCTTACTATCACTGCACTTTCACATAAACTGACTTAACTCGATTTTTTGGTGGCAGTGTAAAAGTTATTAAATTATTTGAATTCCCACTTAAATCACAGTACATAGAGGGTATCACTGTTTCGGTATCTGTGTGTGCTGTTTTGAAATGAGCGTAATTGAGCTTTGCAATTGTACCCTACTTTCTTTGGCTCTCCGTATTCTGAAATGGCTTTATTCATTACAGGCTCCTGATAAAAATCAGTGTGTGTGTACTTTTGTGTGTGTGTGTGTGTGTGTGTGTGTTAGTCATAACACAAGACTGCCTGACCAATATATTCAAAAGTAAGAGAGTCTAAGCTTCAAGAAATGAATAAATTTAGGAAGTAGACTATGAGAATTTGCTGTTCCAAGAATTTTGGTAATTTAATCAATGTATTTAACATGTGAGTGGGAAATTCAGATAAGATTTTATCAATGCAAGTGATAAGATCCACATCGACTGAAATATGCTCTTGGTTGCTATCTACCATGAAGATCTCTGGAATGGACATAGAGACACATGTAAACTATGTAAATTTGTTGCAAAAGTTTTAAAAATCTGAGCGTGGACTCTTAAACACAGGAGTGATGTTTAAAAATGAAGACATGGGGCGCCTGGGTGGTGCAGTCGGTTAAGCGTCCGACT